TAGGGATGAAATCACGCTTCCCCCAATAACCTCATTAAATGTACTTGGTGTTCGCTGTAGGAATTCACTTGGTCCCAATTCCAATTATTACTTAGTTCCTTCTTTGTTAGCTGGATTTAATGCAGTTGCCTTCAAAGGCTATTTGAAGATTATTAAATATCTTAAATTGAAGAGTGGAGTGTCACATAAAGAATTTTAAAATTATTGATGCTTGTTGATAAGTGACGAGTGATATTCACATACTGAATCTTCTCTGTTGCAAAAGTCTGTCTAAGTTTGTAGATCTGTACTCTATGTAGTAGATGTTTTTTATTAAAGACATTGGCATTTGGTTAAACAGGACTGTCTAGCATAGTAAAGAGATGTTAACAGACCTGCTCATTGGGAACTAAACGGCATTTGTACACCTCCACTCCCCGAGTCATAGTGACAACCAGAAATGCCCCTACATATTTTCAAATGATCCCAATTAGGTACTTTTTGGGTGGCAGCTCTTTGAGCAAAGAGGCATGCAAGTCCTTTCCCATTAGTGGATGTTGATGGGTGGTTCCCCAGTTGAGAACCACTTCTGCATATTTGTAAGGCCTTAGGCAGCATATCATCATTTATGCCTAAGCATTTTCCAGAGTAGAATGAGCCATATAGCAAAATGCCACATATTTCCTCTACTTAGTAACTTGAACCCTTATTTAAAACTCAGTCTAAGCATATTGCAAACTTTAGTTATACCTTTACTATTTTTAGCTAAAGTTACTCTCCCAGTCCTTTGCATGTGTTTCTGCCTTAGCAGTTTTACCTTTATATATTAGTAGCTTTTATTCTTTTCCTCACTTAATTAAGCCTTTGTTTCCTTTTTTCATGTCACTGGAATTATGTATATTTCAGATATTCAAGTATAAATATTTTTTGAAAATCAATTTTTAGAATCTTTGGGGGTTATGTTAACATTAAATGATGGAAAAACAAAATACAGTAACCCTCTTTGTTATGTCTTTTATTATATCACATCTATTTATCTTTTAGAGAAGTGATGAGCATTGATAAAGCATTTTGCTTGTAGATTTTTTTTTTTTCTTTTCTAATGTGAGTTGACCAGCACAGGAATTGATTCGCTTTAAATTGTGTTTAGAAAACTAAGAATTATTTGTTTTCTCTTTAAGGTGTTTAATAGAGAGAAAAAATTTCTGTAATTGTGCCATATACATCATACAGTATATTCACTATACAGTGTCTCTCTTTTGGGGGCTTGTAGTCTTCAAGGAGGCATCTATACATTTCATAATTTGTGAGGTTTTATTATCTTGAAGTCATTGTTAATCTGAGGTGAAAAGTAATTGCTAAATAGAAATTCTGAGAAGAAGAAGGACTTACCTTTTTCAATAGTATAGGAAACTCTGCTGCATGAGATGGGTTTTAACAATGATCTTAATGGAAATCTGAACTGAAAACATTCTATGAGATATGGAGTGAGAATGAATGATATGTCTTCAAAATGAATGTCTCAATCTTAATGTTTTACTGTAGTTTCTCTGGTGAAATATCTATAGTTTCATTGCACCTAAATAAGTGAAAACTTTTATAATTTAAAATAAATTTTAAGGTTATTTAATTAAATAATATTAAAAATTTGTTCAATAATTTTAATGGTTTTAATCTTAGGCTAATGTTTACTTAAAATGACAAAAGCGACTAGATTTTTAAAAGGATTTTCTTTTTAAGGAAATTTTCAAATTATAGGGCTTTTTTATTTTGTTATATAGAGAGGTGAATTAAAGTTTACAAAATGACTATTAATTGTAGTTGAGAAAACAGAAAATTCTATCTCCTCTCAAATGACATTCAAAAACCTTTCTTGAAAATGATCTTTTTATTTCTCTTTCAATGAGAGTTGGAGCAATAAAGAACTCATTAAATATAAACAGATTATTTTAATGCCTGATGGACTTTAAAAAAATTGCAGAGCTTCTGTTCATCTCAACATGGCTGGGAAACTTCTTGTTTGATGTTCTTTTAAAATTTTGCTGCCCTGGCTGGTGTGGCTAATGTGGTTGGAGTGTCCTCCTGTACACCAGAAGGTAGAGGGTTCAATTCCCGGTCAGGGCACGCTCCCTGGGCGTGTTAGGGAGGCAACTGATGGATATTTCTCTCTTTCTTACTCTCTCTTCCTTCCTCTTTCTAAAAACCAATTTAAAAAATAAATAAATAAATAAAATTCAACGTTTGTATTTTAAAAAAAAATAAATTTGCAGGCGTGTAAATGAGAGAAATCTTTTTTAAAAAGATACATAAAATACATTCATTACAAAGAGATGCATTTTAGTCTAGCCATAAAAAAATTTAATAATAGCACTTAATGAAATAGAACTATTAAACAACCAAGAGTGTGCTTGAAATTCAGTTATGTGTTGGAAATTGCTCAATGGAGATTTAAAATTAGTCTGGGGGAAAAAGTGTGCAGATATATATATGTATGTATATGTATACATGTAATATATATTTGGAAGAAGAAATATGTATTATCTAGGGAATATCGATAACAGAAGTGGAAAATATTTTTACATATTGTCAAAAGCTTTTGTCAACTGACTAAATGTTTTTGACTGTGGTAGGCACCTTCACAGGAAATTATAAGCTATACTTTAGCTCATCCAAGTGTCAAATATCAAAGTTCTCTCTAAAGATTCTGAAGAAAATGTCAATGGCAGCTACCTAGTTCCAGCTTCCAAACTATTAACCAAATAATATTAACTTGTGCAATTTATGGAAAATAAGTGTTTAACATTCTGAGTCACTATTTCAAATCACTATTTTCTTAGTATTTGTGAGACATTTTTATAATTTTATCACTTTTTTAAATATAAAAGGCAGATTTGTATGCAGTTAAGACTTCTGAAAGTATGTACCCCACAAAATTTTTTTACCTTTAACAGAAAAGGAAAAAAGGACTACAATGAAGTCTTAAATTATAAGCTAAGGTTTTGAATTGTTTAATGGTAAGATATAATCCGTCATCTCTGGCTTGCCTTTCAGGTAATATATATATTCTAAGATAGAAAAATCAACATCTTATTTTGTTGTGTTACAAAGTGATTATGTGTCCTTAAATGTAATCTCTCAAGGTATTTCTTTGATTGTTTTATAAAGCAATGGGAAATCCAGAAAACACAGAAGATGCGTATGTTGCTGTTATTCGTCCAAAGAATACTGCCAGTCTGAATTCCCGGGAATACAAAGCTAAGTCATATGAAGTGAGAACAATTTGCTAGCATTTGATTTGCTACCATTGAATGCCATTCTCTATTGTCCTTTTCATTTACATGTAGTCTTACCATATCCTGTAAATTCTTCTTGGCAAGCTAGATCTTGACAAGCTAGAATTGACAACCCTAGATCTCTTTTTTTCTGCTGTATATCTTTTGACCATTTTTCCATTCATTGATACATAAGTTATTAGATATTAAGACGTACTTATTTGAGCTTTCCTTATAATTTATAGATTAGTTTTTAGTACAGTTTATAGAATGACTCAAAATTAAAACAAGAAAAGAAATTGTAAAAGTTTATTCAAAATTACAGTCTACATATTGTTCTTGGTTATTTTGCCAAAGAACTGCTTTTAATAGTTCACTAAAAAAATATATTTTTACCTTCAGTTAAGTTTTAGGAGGTTAAGTTACTTTTCTGTAGTTTTCAATTATATGGTATTACATATAAATGTGATTGGAGGAAACAAACAGAATTGTTATCTTTTCTATGCAACAGATGCCAAACATCATAAAATACTTCTAATCTAACCTAACTCCAGCTAATTTCTGTAGCATTTTGCTTGAATTACTTCTTTAGGGTTATCTGAAACCTATTAAAGGATATTGCAGGGGTTCTCAGGAAGCTGCTGCGTTAGCAGTGCTCTGGCATACTGGTTGTCAATACTGGCCACACTGTTGAATCACCTGGGCAACTTGAAAATTCCAGTACTAGTACCCCACTCCCTAAACATTCTGATGTAATAGGTCTGAGATGAATCTGGGTATTGATACTGTTTTAAAAGCTTCCCAGGTTATTCTAATATGCAGCTAGGGTTAAGAAGAACTGCTGGCTTATTATATTCTAGGGCAAATAAATTTGATTTAAACTTTCTCTTATTATTTTTCTTATTTAAGATTTTATTGCATGAAGTTCCCATTGAAGGACAGAAAAAAAAGAGAAAGAAAGTTTTGTTGGAAACTAAACTTCAAGGCAACAGTGAAATAACACAAGGCATATTGGATTATGTAGTAGAAACCACCAAACCAATTTCTCCTGCAAACCAAGGTATCAAAGGTAGGAAACTTTTTCTGACCTCCCTCCCTCCTTCCCTCCCTCCTTCCCTCCCTCCTTCCCTCCCTCCTTCCCTCCCTCCCTCTCCTTCCCTCTCTCTAA